ATACGACCACAGTTGAACCCAAAATTAATCAGTGGAACAGCTTGCCTCCAGAAGTTGTGAATGCCCCAACACTGGAAGTCTTTAAGAAGATGTTGGATAGCCATTTGTCTGAAACGGTATAGGGTTTCCTGCCTAGGCAGGGGGTTGGACTAGAAGACCTCCAAGGTCCCTTCCAACTCTGCTATTGTATTGTATTGAAGGTTGCAAAGAAACAGGCACAAGAGTTTTAGTGTTGTATAGCAATATATATTCCCTTGTCTATTGTGAGCCGCCCGGAGTCCTTCGGGAGTGGGCGGCATACAAGACAAATAAATAAACTAATATCAGTATCACTTATATACCACTTCATAATGCTTTTACAGCCCTCTCTAAGAGTTTACAGAGTCAGCATATTGACCCCAAAAATCTGGGTCCTCATTTTACCCATCTCAGAAGGCTGAGTCAACCTTGAGCCGGTGAGATTTGAACTGACCTGCAGCTAGTAGTCAGCTGAAGTACTGCACTCTAACCAGTGCGCCATCTCGGCTCATTGTAGATAAATATAAATACTGCTTTTACTGTCTTCTATTTTACAGATCTTAAACCTGACCCATCAAGTTTTCCAGAGGATAAAGAATGCTGCCATGACTATCATAAGACCAACATTTTTGTATCACTTTTATAACTGTTTTATGTCACTGTTTATAACTGTTTCCCATTATATCAACAGCCATTATGGCCCTCCATAATGGAGGATTTCCATCAAAAACAGTATGCATTCAGCCTTAAGTTCCCAAGTGCCCAATATTTTTAACATTTAAATGGATTCAATCCACAGATGTTTCAACTCTACTCAGAGTCTAATATACAAGCCAGTTTTAACCGGATTTGTGGGCCTGTGAAACTTCATAGACATGGGTATTCATACTGAAAACTGGGTATCGCTTCATTCAGCACCATGGCCAGTTTATGTGGTACCTCTCTGTTCCAGAGTGCTTAACACTTAAACTCTGGAAATCCTGCCTAACAGGAAGAATAGTTTGATAATGGAACTCCTTACTAAATATGATCAAGTGGAAGATAGCCAGCAATGGGTCAATTTAACTTTGGATACAATAGACTAAATATGTTTTCAATCCCAAGATCAAAAATAATAATAAAGAGAAAATCAAAAGGATTTGACTTTTGCCTCAAAGTCAGGAGATAATAGTCTGATGAAATAATAATTTATTTTTAAAAAATAGTCTTACCATTATAAAGAAATTTCCACAAGCAAAGCAAGAATAATCACACTAGACTAGAACATGCTTGTTTTTATTTAAAATTGCTCAGGTAGCTTGTGTACAAATTACGTTTCGATCTAATAGTCAATCATAACTTTGTAAATAAAACATTGAGATTCAAGGAATAATCAATGGCACAGAAGATATTCAAAAGGCTATTTCAAGAGTTAATGCTTAATAACCTAAATGATAATCCTCCCCTAATGTTTCCTTTCTGTGTATCTGAAATTACAGGTGAAAAAATAGATGATGATGAAATACACTATTATCTTGTACAGTCATTTCAGGTTTAATTTCTAAGTAGATTCATAGTGAATATCTTATGGTTATTTGGTTTAGTAGTTAGTGCCTCCCTTCCTTCTTACCCCATATATATATGACAGAAAAAATCATTGGGAAGAATTTAAAGTTAAGGTTAGCAGCAATTCTGATTTTGGCATGGCCTTTCAATGCAAGAATCATTTCAAATACTGCCTAAACAAGCAAGAATACAAAATCAATTATACATGCAATATTAGTGAATACACCCCCACCCCCACACACACCTCTGTGATTACTGGCTGCAAAGGAAGCAATTGACATCTGTACAAATTTTAATCAAATACTATTTTTCACTACCCCAGTATTGTGCTTGTAGCTCAGTTTTCATTATAGATATCATTGGCTCTTACAGCAGCAGAGATGAGTGCTTTTTCAGTCAGTATAGTTTAATCCAACTACATCATCTCTTTTCTTTCTTTTTCTTCTTTCTGTTCCGCTCTTCACCGCTATCCTCAGCTTCACTGGCAGTTGGGGTGGGCTCTCTTCTTATGATTTTCTTCTCTATCTTGTATTCTTGTTCTCCTACCCTGGGGTTTCCTTTTACAATAAATTCACCATTCTGATACATTATGGAAACATCTGTCTTTGGATACGTGCCATAGACTCTTCTGAGATCATCTTTCACAAAGTCTGGCAACTCCCTCCTAGGCCCAACGACACGTTCAAGCCTACCCCAGTGGAGCTCTCCTCTCAGAACAAACCCTTCAGGCCACAGGTCCCAGCTTGGTCTCTGGACTGCCCTATGAGGATGATAGTTACTGTAAGGCTGGTACAGAGGAACAGAACTCACCTGGGGAAAGTGCCAGAAAGAGTAAGGGTAAAAAAAAGGACTTTGACCATAGAGGTGATGGTACTCCATTTGGTTGGATAAACTGTTATTGTAACCATAGTCCATATTATAGTCCATGATAGCAAGAGGATTGTAAGTGTTGTGCATCGGAACCTGGGACAGGAACGCATAAGGAAAATTCTGAAACATGCCAGGATAGTACAAAGCCATACTTGGTAGATGGTACAAACAGCTTCTTCTTAACCAAATGCCACTTTCTCATGAAGCATTTCACCTAGGTTTTTTCTTCCACACTGTAGGGATAAAGTAAGAGATGCTGAACTTCTTGAAATCATAAATAGTTCATATCTATTTATCAACTCTAAATAGTTAGAAAAATTGCATGTAAAGTATACACATTTTCTAAAATGAAATTTGTTCAGGAGCAACGTTTATAATACTCCTAAAGGGATTTTTTTCCTTACAAATAATGATCTCATAATTAGTGCTCTAAACAATTACAGTACTTCAATAGCTTTGAAGCTTGTTGAGACAAGTTCTGTGTACCTATTATAGTGTTCTAATAAACACAAATGAGGAAGCTTTTTATTCACCTGCTTCACCAGGATACGGGGAATGATGCAAAGCAATGTAAAGCAGTATTCAGATTTATATATTGAAAAACATAGGCCTGGGGCTACATTTTAAAATGTAGTTGGATCTTTTTTATTTGTTTTTGAAGCCATGATTCTGGGTAGAAGAGAATTTCAACTTTGTCCCAACTGTAATCCAAATCAGTTTGTATGTGCACATATAGGTGGTGTTCTTATTGCACATTAAGCCACAGATTAACTTTAGCTTCCCAAATAAAGTATACTTGGATAGGTTTGCATAAACAGTTGTGTTTTAGAATACACAATTCACATCAAATGGGAAGCTACGCAGAAGCACCCCACAGAATAGCTTAATAATACTTGATTCCTGTGCCACGGGCCATCCATATTATGCTTTCCCAATTACGTGCCTAAATGGAAAGTAGGCTGAAGAGAAAAAAAAGCCAGCCACAAGCACTGTGTTTATTTCCAAGAATTGCTGTATATCTCCTGGGTGCCATCTTAGAAAATAAATCCGAAAGGGGCAGCAGTCTAGCATTCGGATAAGAAAACAGACAAGGTGCTAGCAAGCACCCAGAGCGACTAAGCAAAGGGGACACCAGCAACAAACTCAATTGTCATTTCCAAGAAAAGCAAGGCTTTTGATAGTACCAGTGAAATGTGGTTTTCCTTATAAGAAACAGGCAGGAAGGAGCCTGATTACAACCAGCACAATAGTGAGGGCAAAAGAAAAGTCCTCAACATTGTACTATGGTCTTACTGTGCTTCGGTTTCCCCCAACCGCCAGCCATTGCTTATATTAAAAATCAGTTAATATTAATAATAGCAATATTATAAACAATAATAAAGTAATGTTGTAAGTACTTTGCAAAAAATGTTACACTTCGACTCTGCAATTCAGACACTGTATTGCATATTTTAATATACCAGGAAATGGCAAATTATCTATGCATCTGCTACAACAATCACAATCTATTTACTAAAAATTCTTCCTGGCTTCACTTCAGTAATACAGAGTTGGGTTAAGTCAATTCTCAAGCATATTCTCAGGAATTGCATTTGAAGTAAACAGTGATGGTAACTCTCTCCTAATAGAAATACAAATCGCCACCCGAAGCTAAAAAGCAGCCCAAATATTATTTTAAAAATCAATGAAGTTTGCTAGCTAAAACATAAGGAAAAATACATCTTTTTACATTTCTTTCTCTTTTCATTTTACTGTCTGCAAAATCAAGGAGATAAATACCAACTTTCATTGCTAATTTAATATCAGAAATAGACTTTCCTAAAATGAAAAGTCTAAGGTTTCCTATCTTTGGCTGATTAATACTCCACCACCCCCCGCCACATTTCACAAGTTCCACTATTAGAATTAGGCTACAGCTATGTGTTGCACAGTCTCCTTTAGCATTTTAATCTTCAAACCAATCGCTAGTTTGCATTTTATACCCAACTATGTAATCCACATAACCTGTGTCTTGAATACAAGATTTCACAGTCTAGAACGGGACACGCAGAGAAACACATCCGTTTAGTACTTTTTAAAGGAATAAAAATAGAATCGAATGCCCCATAAATCCTGCATTAAAAAGCAAAAGCAACGTTACCAAACCATAGTAGTGCCACAGCAGCAATAGTGCCACAGCAGTTCTGCCCAAGCAATGCCCAAGAATATGTAAGGAAATGCAATTATCACTGCCACAGCTCCTATCGACCTAGCAGTTTAAAGTATGCAAGTAGCTAAATAGATACCACATTGGTGGAAAAGTAGCAATGTTCCATGCACCTCAATTTATAGTCATGCTGGCCACATGATCACAGAAGTGTCTTCAGACAACACTGGCTCCCTCAGCTAGGAAATGGAGATGAGCACCATGCCTTAGGCACGACTGATCAGGGAAAACCTTTATCTTTATTTAAGCATGAAAAATACTCTCTCTCTCTCTCCCTCCCTCCCTCCCTCTCTCTCTCTCTCCATGTTTCAGGTTTTGTTGTCTGGAGAACAGGACAAAGGAATGCATAGCAACCAATAAACTCTAGAAAACAGGAGAACATTCTTGCAGATGTTATCTCAATCTTTTCTTATCGAGAGTACAGTATTGTACGTGTTCTGTTCCTCCTTGCCTTTTTAAAGTAACGCAGTAGCTTGGATTCTTTCTAGAGTAGAGTAAGAGGTACTATTGAGGTAGCTATATTTAATCCCTTTCTTACCCTGTAAGAGATATTCATTTATCCAATTATTGACTTTTTGTATTACCACATGTGTATTTTATCACTTTTTCCTCCTATTTATTTTATTTTGGAATTAGACTATGCACATATTATATTTAATTTTATTAATAATGTTGCAAAATAAATCATTCAATAAACAAGCCACTTTTATATAGTTGAAAACAAGAGAGAGAGGGAGGGAGGGAGGGAGGG